TATATATATATATTATGCATACAGTGGTGAGAAAATGGTACCTACTATGGGTGTCTCCCATTTTTAAAACAAAATTTGCTTGCTTATTTTTAAACTTTGTTTTTGTTTAGCATCCTTTTATCTTTGTTTATCATGCAACATGTTCAGAGATTTCTGTTTTTTTGTTTAGCATCCTTTTATCTTTGTTTATCATGCAACATGTTCAGAGATTTCTGTTTTGTTTAGCATCCTTTTATCTTTGTTTATCATGCAATATGTTCAGAGGTTTTTGATAGAATTATCATGAATGTTTTTTTGAAGCTGTACCTTGTAACTATCATAATTTCTCCAGGACGACCAAAATTCCATGATGGCCGCTGCTGCTGCTGAAGAAAAACCTGCCGAGGAATCCCAGTCTTCCCCAGGATTTTTCATGAAAACTACTATTTCATCCATCAGTCTCAAGTTTCCGTCGGTCAAGAATCTGAGCACTTCAAATTTAGACAAGATGCTAAAAGATCCAAGTGAGAGGGGTGTTGTGCTTCTGGTAAGATTTGTAACTTAATTTGCACTTGTTGTATATAGTAGTTTAGTTTAAGTAAGTGTTTTACGGCACTTGCAATACTACTGAAAGATGGAGCAGACCACAACAGAGCACTCTCCAACCACCCACAATTTACAAGATTTAATTTGTTCAGAATTACAAATGTCATCTATAGGTAACCTGCATAAAAATTTTGAAAGGCTGAATCCATAAACAAACTGAACGTTTTATGTCTTCAATATGTTCTTTGCAAAATCTTGTGCATCATGAAGGAAAAGTGCTTGGATGTCATTCATTTGGACCACCGAGGGATCTTTAACGTCCACAACTTACACACGGGACGTCCGAGATTTTTCGCCCTTGTCCAAGAAGGCTAGGTGTAGATCTTTCCTACCAAAAGATCAGGGGTGTGGCTGAAAGACAGCCCAAGGAGTATCTGTAGAAAAGCTGCGGAAAGAGTCAGTCAAAGAAGCCCGGAGGAGGGGGCATTAAGGAAGTGGGGGTGGAGAAAGTGGAGATGAAAGCAGACGACAGAAAATTGCTAAAGAGCAGGAAAGGAGGGGAAAGGAGACTATTTTAGAGAAGAAACATTTCCGTTGCTGTACGGATTTGAACCCACAAGCTATTGAATGAGAGAGGAGCACCTTAACCTCTAGGCCATGAGAGCCCCCGCCCCCCCCAATGAACTTTGCTATAGCAAGAACCATTTTTGTCAGCTTACACCTTCATTTCAGTTACATCATGGGTACAAAGAAGGCATAATTTTTTTTCTTCTGAAATTAAAATACAGTTTATCAATGTTAAAGCTAAACTATTTCCGAAAGATCTATACAATCATGTCGCATTTGCATATATTTACACGACGACTGCTTACTTAAACTTAAGCCTTTCATTTTTAGAAGGTTCGAACTACAGTCATAATTTGCGTGTAGGCTTTCAGAAAAATAAATACTAAAACAGTCGAACCAGCTCTAGCTATCACCTGTCCAAGACAACCACCTGTACAAACGACAACTTCCCTTTGCATTTTAAAAAATATAATGACTTGTAAGGTGGTAACTTTTCTTCTTGACAGTGGGTGGTTGTCTTGGTCAGATTCAACTTATAGGCTACATAAAAATGTCCTTTGCACTCAGAGCATACAATGAAATAGTTCATTGTCTTTTTGAATACAGTCAAACCTGCCCTGACGGCCACCTCTATAAGACAGCCACCTGTACAAACGGCCACTTTCCATAAAAAAATTTCCCCCCTTGCGTTTTTCTATATAATTTAACTGTGTAAAACGGGCACCTGTCCAACGCGGCCGCGGCCACCATGTTTTAACACACAACCCCTATTACACTAAGCAATAACACCTGTTTTAGACAGCCACCTTAGTGACTCCATTATGTTTTGTCATAGATTGTGCATTGGCCCCTGGCATTGTGGGCGAGTCGTCATAATTCAATCACCTGTCATTGTTGTTAAGCAGTCCCTCCAACGGATCATTGTTGCGTAGGCCCCTCCCTCTGTTGACCAATAGCTTCCAATTTTCAGCTGCTGTTGAGGTAAGCGTGTGATCCCTCATAACTCATAAACCCCTCCCAGAACTCATACACAAATTTAATCGTAAGTGAGATGAGTAATCATTGTTTACCCAGTCTGTACCAAAGTAACAATGGACGTCAACATGAACTTGTGACAGAAGT